AGTTGTAATTCATTCTTGAAATAACATATACTGGGGCTGGGGGTTGTAGCTCAGTGGTTGAGTGCTTGCCTCACATGCATGAGGCACTGAGTTTGATCCTCAGCACCACATAAAAAAATAAAGAAACAAACAAACAAAGATATTGTGTCCATATACAACTAAAAAAATGTTTTTTAAAAAAATAAACATATATTGATATAGCCGGGCATGGTAGCGCATGCTTGTAATCTCAGAGGCTCAGGGCGAGCTATAAAGAAAGGATTGTTACAAAACTAGGTATAATTTTGCATTCACTAAGTCAATAGGTGAGCCATTTCTGATTACAGACAAATTCATCATTGCTCCTGACACTGCACATTATTTGAATGAAAATCTTCTCTTTGCTTTAAACTCTTTAAAAAAATGGAAAAGGAGTTAGCAAAGCTGAGTTGAATCATGAGTTCAAAGCCAGTCTCAGCAACTTAGTGAGATCCTTAAGCAACTCAGAGACCCGGTCTCTAAATAAAATAGGTCTGGGGATGTGACCTAGTGGTCGAAGCACCCCTGAGTTCAATCCCTGGTACCAAAAACTAAAATAAAAGAAAATAACAGATATTGAGAAATATAATAGGAGTCCCTATGAGGAGTTTGTAGTAAGCTCACCTCTGCTATAGAATATATCACCTTTTCTTTCTGTATAACCAGAAAGTCTTGATGTCTATCCAGTTGTAAATCTGCTTTATGGAGACCTTTTTCATCATCTGAACTTGAAACATTCAATTGCCTTCAGGACACCCCCCCTCAAAAAAAAAAAAAAAAGAATCTGTATGTCTCTGATTCTCGACTCACAGGCTACCCAGAAAGTAGTCCTAGAGGGGAAAATGATAGGAGATAAAATTATAGAAAAAGTACTTCATTTCTAAGAGTTCCTAGAGTTTCTTTTATACATTTTAAGATTCTTTCTGCAAATATATTCATTTTTTTTCATAAAGAAATAGTCTGAACACTACTGGTTTTCAGATGAGCTATCTATGGAATTAATCTCTCAGCCTTTTAGAAACCTATCGTGGGTGGCCTTCTTTCTCATCTTAATTTGTGATCTTTCCTGTAGCTATATATACAGAATATAACTCACTGGTTTACAGTTATAAGGAGTGATAAAGAAAGGATTGTTACACAACTAGGTATAATTTTGCATTCACTAAGTCAATAGGTGAGACATTTCTGATTGCAGGCAAATTCATCATTGCTCCTGACACTGCACATTGTTTGAATGAGAATCTTCCCTTTGCTTTAAACTCTTGAAAAAAAAAATGGAAAAGGAGTTAGCAAGACCAAAGAAAATATTAATTTTCCTCTGTTTCAAATCTTTTTCAGCTGTGTATTGATTGGAAACCAACTCAGTGATTTAATTAGAAATACAAGCTTTCCTCCTTCCCTTAGGTTCATATCAAATTTACCAATTTTTTTTTTCACATATTTTCTTAGGCTGGAGCTACAAAGATCAGAGAAGGCCTCAACTCTCTGGTACCCTTTAATTTGTTATGGACTGATTATGATCTAAACATGAGCAATGATAATCCAGCTACAGTGTGCCTGCAGCAAGTGACTGGGAAGACTCATAGAAGTGCCCCCACCCCCCAATTTTAACAGGAATTTCCTTAGGAAATCCACTTGGGGAGTGCTGAAGGCAACCACATTGGATGATTTCGATTCCCCAGTCCCCATAGATTGTTTTGTGTATTTGAAAACACAATGCTATTTTTCTAAGAACTCTTAATTGACAAAAAGGAAAAAAAAAAGGTGTTTATATTCAATTTAAAGCAAAGTATTAATAAGACATTTTTGCATTTGGGGGTAATCCTACTAAAGCTGGGTAAATTACTATAGTGTTATGTGCAAGTGTAAAACATTCCCTCTATCACAGTTTATATATACATAACTAGGAGAGCAATGAACAGGAGACAAGATGGTGAGAGGAATTCATGATCAGAGAAAGGGAGGGCATCTTGGGTTACTGCCATTAAGATTCTGTAAAAGGTTTGAAAATATCCTGATAACATGGGATACGGGTCTTCATGCCCCAAACTCACCAGGGCTAGATTAAAGCATGCAGATTACCCAGAGCAGTCATGCCAAGAGACCAGGAAAAAAAGGAAACCAGTTCCAAGTACAAACTGTACTGCTTTCTTTAACCTGGTAAAACCAACCAGGCTGCAGTCTAGAGTAGAAGTCTGTTTACTTCCGGATGCACATGTGCTCTTCACCACAGTGTCAACATGATGTCAGACCACAGAGGGTTCCAGTCTGGTGACCACTTCTCGCTTGTAGTAAACATTAGTTGCTTAACAATATTTCAACAGCAAGTAAGCAGAGAAGAGAACATGGGCTCCGAAGGCCAAGACAGTCTCAGAAACCACACTTCCTGGGGCCTGAACCCTAACTCAAGATGTACTAGGCTTGGTCAGGTCACCCAAGGCCTCTGTCTCTCAGTTTCCTCATCAACACAACAGGAAAAAGAGTATAATTCTACCACACAGGATTGGCCTGTGGGTTTAATGAGCTGTGATATGTAACAGCTTTAGAATAATGTCCCAGTTACTGTGAGATTTCAGTAAACACCATCCTTGTGATTAGGAATCAGACCTACCTCTTTTCTGCAGCTTCTTCTTTTCAGATAGCAAACTAAGGAGGTAAAAGGCATGAGGCCTTTTTCCTCCAACAAAGATAAATTCCACAAACTTTGAGACATCGGAGTGGATATCATAGCTCTTCAGGACAAAATTCGAGGAAAAGAGCCTGGGAAATAATAGAGACTTAAAAAGCACACAAAGAATGCCTCTGGGAGCCAAGAGGCCTGGAGGCAGAAAGAAAGAGACATCCTGAATGCTAGCAGAAATTAGAAAAGAATATAAGGAGAGAAACGACACCCTAACCAGGAGCTATGGGGAGGGAAACCAAAGTGCCTAGCCAGCATCCAGTCAAAGGCAGCTGTCCTGTTTGCTGACTTATCTTCAAGGCTTTTTCTTTCTTTCTTTCTTTCTATCTTTGGGTGTGAGTGAGTGTGAGGGAGAGGTCAAGCACAGTACTCTTGTTTTGTTCTTACTCTTATTTGTTCTGTCTTTGAGAACTTGCCCCCCACCCACCCATTATAATTCTTCAGGAAAAAAAAATGGCCACCAAAGGGAAACAACAACAAAAAATTCTCAAACCTGATGTCCTCCTTCCAGAATGGAGAAGGAATAGCACAGGAGTTTGCAGAGCTGAAATTTCTCCTAGAAAGCCATCACTGGGAAAATAATGGGGAGGTGGCTTCCCTAGTTCTCCTTTTACATGCTCTTTACTGGAAAGCACTAGGGCAGAGATTCTTTTCAGCAGCTAGGATTTTTTTGCCATGACAGATAATATTCAGAACAGCTTATTATCATTTGCTTCACTATCTGCGTGAAGAAACAGCCAACAATCTTCATATCCTCTAAATAATTACCGAACCAGTCATCATCTGGAATTCTGTGAGAGATGTAAAAGTGAACTACAAATTCAGAAAACTTTTTCTAAGCTAAAACATTGCGGTCCCCTGTCACTGCCAATTAAATAATCAAACTTTGCACTGAACATGATATTTCTCCTGGTGGTTTTTCCTTCCTAAAAGGAGAAAGAGAGAGCACCTTTTGCAAGTGGATTCCATGAGTTCTGTAACCCCACACCATTTCACAGGCCTCCAGAAGATTCTCAAAAACTGAAACCCTTTTTCAAGGGACTAAACACTTCAAGTGTCGACAGACTTAGCGATTCACCTGGGACTGATGGGCTCTTCTCTATGGTTCATTGTCAGCTTTCTATAGTTAAATTAATACTAACCACAAACCTAGCAGTTACTGGCAATAGTACATTATCTTTTCTCCACCATGTCCTCAATACACTTGAAAAATCCCACACACTGGTGAGAATTATGTAAGAGGTTCAGGACTGTAGCTTCAGAAATTATGCATTCAATTGTCTGAATTATGCCCCAATTCTCTTTCTCTCCTAATGTTCTATAAATACAACATCCCTGTGAAACCACTTTTTTTTTCCTTATTAAAAAAAAAAAAGAATTGAAAAGATTCATGCAAAGAATGTTTTGGATTTTTTAGTTAAATAAAATATTTCTTCTTAGTCTCCTGCATTCTATCATCACAAAATCACTTAATCAAAAAAAATAAATAAAATTTTACATCACTAGCTCCCACAGCAAGTAAACTACTTTCAGATTCCCAAAGTGACTTCTATTATCTATTTTTAAAAATACTTTTGACATGATAAAAAAACCATAGCTCAAGGCAGCAGGGGCAAATTAGCCTTTGATTAGAAGCAAATAATTCATTATTCTTTCTTTAGACTTGATCTTCTGTAAGTAAACATGAACATCTACATACTTTTTTATGTTTCCTTTGAAACAAATAATAATAACGTGAAATATATATTTTTTTCCAGTCATCTTTGTATCTATTTTAGTCAGCTTTTCACAACTGTGACCAAAAGAACTGACAGGAACAATTAGAAGATGAAAAGTTTATTTGGGGATCACCGTTTCAGAGGTCTCAGCCTATAGGCAGCCAACTTCATTCCTTAGCTGGAGGTGAGGCAGAGCGTCATGGCACAAGAGTGTGGGGGATGAAAGCAGATGAGGACATGGCACCAGGAAGCAGAAAGAAAGAGGGTGGGGCTCTGCGATCACCAAGAACAAAATTTGTACCCCAAAGACACTGACCCCAATGGCCTACATCCTCTAGCCACACTCCACCTGCCTACAGTTTACCAAGTTAATCCCTATCATCAAATGAATGCACTGATTAGGTTAAGACTCTCATAACCCAGTCACTTCACCTCAAACTTTCCTGCATTATCTCACACACAAGATTTTGGGGTACACCTCACATCTAAACCATAATAATATTCATTTGGTCTGCTGTGTTGTAAACAATGTGTGCCTCCAAACACGAGCAAAATCTACCACTTGCCACGGGTGACTTTCTCACACAAGACATAGAGAGAGAAAATCAGCCATCATTATCTGGTGCGATTAATGCTGTACTTGGAGAACCTTTTCGAGGGCAAGCATCCATTTCAGGATGAGATGGGCATTATTGAGGTCAGTTATTTTGTCAGCAATTATTCAGCACTTAGTAGCAGATTTCTTTGAAAACATGTTCCTTGTGCAGAGCCCATCAGAATACATGAAAGATGACCAAGATGAAAAAATGATCAGATTCCAACATGGAAGCAAAGAGATTGAGAGAAGGCCATGTGCCAAGACGAGGAGAAAAGAGTACTGTGTGTTTAGAAGTATCCAGAAAGATGAGCATGGCTGAATGATAAAGTGGTGTCTATGGGAAGTGTTACCTTGTGCATGTCTTTTTATGTCACCCTAAGGATTCTGAAGGTCATCCTAAACGAAAAGATCCAGATGTGCCGGGTCCTCCTGTTGCTGCTCAGCTCCAATTCCTCTCTTCTTTGCCCTGCTTCTAATGCTGGAACCTCTTTCCACTGCCAGCTGGCATGACAGTAGATCTCATCACTAGAGGGTGCCAGAGGGACCATAAATGAAGGAAGGGCTCAGCTCCTGAATTCTAGAGTACATGTTTATGATGGAATTCTTGGCACTCCAGAGCAGGGTTTCCATAGAGTCCTGTCCGTGTAGACTTCTGTAACCTTTCTGTCATGCAGGGGCCTCTGTTCACCCATCAACCCCCTGCAGTGAAGGCTGGATGTCAGTTACAGTGGAAGTGAGGAGGCTCTTCCAGATTTACTCTACTTCAGGCCTCTGGGCATGACTACTTTATTCTCTCTACATCTCCCAATCCAATCCCTTGATATAATTAATAATTTTTTTCCACCGAACGTGTTGTGTACAAATTACTGCTAGTTTATGTCTCCAGATTAGAAGCTAATTGGCAAAGAATTGGTACTTGGAGAGCTACCACAAAGATGAGATTTGTGGTCTGGTTTGGTCACTCCAATAGGCTTGAGCTGAGCGCTTAGTACTTGGAAATGAGAAGTGGATGTTACTCATCCATGGCATGCAATGGTATCACAACTAATCAATCTGTCACCTGTGGTTGGTGATGCTAAGGTGGCAACTGGGGCATGTACCTTGAGGGCCCAAGTGAGAGGCTGTAGCACCTGACACTTATGGCAGTAATCCAAGGATTATTAAAGAATCAGGTATGAGATAGATTCTTCTGAGTGCAATGGCATGCTTATAGAAAGAAAATGATGATTCCAGATCTCTTTTTTATTTTGTTTATTTTTTAAATTTATTTTTATTGGTTGTTCAAAACATTACAAAGCTCTTGACATATCACATTTCATACATTAGATTCAAGTGGGTTATGAACTCCCATTTTTACCCCAAATACAGATTGCAGAATCACATCACTTACACATCCACAT